GGGCGCGGAGGGGAGGGCGCGGGCCGGAGGAGGGGCGGACCCGCCCGCGCAGCGCCTGGCGGAGCAGTGCGGCCGGGGCTGGGCGCGACCCTGGCCAGGGGAGGCGCAGATAGCGGGCGGAGCCCATCGCCGGCTATGCTGTGGCTGGCAGCCGCCGGAGCCCGGGCCATCGTGGACATGTCGTACGCCCGTCACTTCCTGGACTTCCAGGGCTCCGCCATCCCCCGAACTATGCAGAAGCTGGTGGTGACCCGGCTGAGCCCTAACTTCGGCGAGGCCGTCACCCTGCGGCGGGACTGCCCGGTGCCGCTCCCCGGGGACGGAGACCTCCTCGTCCGGAACCGGTGAGCCCGGCGCGCGGCCCCGCCCCGGTCCCCGGCCCTCGCAGCTCGGCTCCAGGCTGTCCCGGGCCACCCTCGTGCCCACACTGCAGCGCGCGCTTGGGCGCACAGCCTGACTTTGCGAGATCCCTGGAAGTTGAACCCGCCGCCATCTGGCGAAGGCGAATGTAATGTGACTTGCTGGTGTGAATATCCGATGCCACCGAACGTCCTCATATCTGGGGGTTATTTTAATTTGGGATTCCCCTCCCCTCCCCCAGCCCTCCCTCCTCCCCCTCCCGCTCCCTAAATAAAACCGACGGGACCCAGAAAGAGAGGCTCCCCGCCCGGCCCACCCGCGCGCACCCACGATTCCTGCGTTGACATAATTTTTAGTGGAGCAGCAACAGCCCGGACTCACACCGCGACATTTAGGTAACCGTGCATTGGAGGAAAGGGACCCAGGTTCGACTTGCTTTTTCCTGTCCCCTCGGCCTGTCTTGGCGGAGCCTGCCTTGAGTGTGTTGGTGTGCACCTAGCTGTTGTGGTCCGTGAATCATCAGTGCGGTGTTACTGTGCTCTGTCATCTAAGTGCAAAGAACAGTGTACCCGCCGAGCTGGGCCCGCGAACGGTGGGGGCATGGTAGCATTTTGCCTGCCTGCATTGCGGACATTCAGGTGGCACACGGGTAGTGGACAGACCTGCTTGTTCCACCCCCATGCTTCCCACCTTAATGCGTTTCCACCTCACTAATCTTTAGTAAGTGAAGCAGAGGAATTAAGACCTCGCTATGATCTGGCCCCGGCCATACCCACTGAGGACTGAGCAGAGCCTTCCCTCACTGCGGGACTGGCAGGGAGGTGATCTTCTGTGCCCTTTGGCCTGCTGGGTCCCATCCGAATGGTTCCTTCGTGGCATTTTGCTCGTTGGATAAAATTACGGAAGGGAGGCGTTAGTTCTGACTGTATCCAGACTGTAAACTGCTAGAAAGTACTTCCAGTCCCCTGTGAGGTCTGCAGGATGAAATGTTCCTACCCAAGTGTCTTGGTACAAAATTTATTCAACCAGTCCAGTTTATAGATTCCTGTCAACTCTCAAACAAGACTGTAGGAATGAAGAATGCTGATTTGTGACATGAAAGTTTTGGAAACCTGTTGGAACCTTAGCGTTGAGTGAGCAGTGGGTGGGATTGAATGGAGGGGGTAGATGGAGTGTAGCTTCAATGGTGTGTGTGTGTGTGTGTGTGTGTGTGTGTGTGTGTGTGTGTGTCCCCGTCCTTTTGCATGCTTGCCTGGATGCAGAGAACTGCTTTATTGTGTAATGAAATGCTGAGGTTGTGGAGACTAAGAATTTGAGCCCTGCCAGCTTAGAAAGAAGGGCTTGCGTTTGTATTCAGGTAGTAATGCATCCAGAGAGCAATGATTTGCTAGAAGTTCAGCCCAGAATAGACTGAAAAGCTTTCCAAACAAACTTCAACCGGGAGGGAAAAAGTTGCACGCAGGGCTTTCACTTTCTTTTATTGCTGTGATATATAGTATTGAATGTAAATACTAATAAACACACACAACTGCGGGAATGAAATCCCTTTTTGAAACAGGTGTGACATAGAGAAGGGTGCCACAAGGGGCCAGTCTGGAAGGTGTTGAAGTATGAAAGTAACCGCGAGGTGGGACTCCCACCGCGGGTGGAGGCTACTCTGCTGCCCAGGTCTTGGGGCCTCTCCTTTAGTAGTTACTGTCACTCCATCCTCCTTCCTTTCCCCCTCTTCATACGTTTGTTCTCTTGTGGCAGCGCCCATGGATGCCCAAGGTCACCTCAGTTGATTCGGGTGCTCCTGGGATCCCTGAATTCAGAGCGCAGGAGCGTAGACTATCCTGTTTAAAAATCAGCGGTTCGAACTGTTTAAAAATCACGCCTCTTTTTTGCTTCCATGGCTGCCTAGAAGCCCTTTGATATAAGTGGTTTATTTATGTAAGCAACTTGACCTCTAACTTCTACCTTGAATCCACAACAGGGGGGAAATGTAGCCAGTTTGTGTGAGTTGGAAGCAAGCTATCTTCACCTCCCCCTTTCCATATTCTTTTGGAAAGGCTCCTTTCCTGTAGGAATGTCCTTTATTCTTGTGAACAGTATCAGTGTTCTTCCCGGTTTTTATTTTATTTTATTATTTTAAGGAGCAGAGGTTTAATAATTTACCTAAAGTTAGTTCATTTTAATCCAGGACTAACCTCTCCTAACCATAGCTAATTGCATTAAAATTTTATGCAAGTGCACCTCACTTTTAGCATAACAAAATCTCTGGAATGAATGGATTGAGCCCAAATTCATTTATTTGGGTTTTGTGAGATTTTAATGGTGCTCTATCTGACTTTTTTCTTTATGAACTATGTTCCACATCACATTCTAGTTAGCAAAATCCATTGCTTCATTTAGAAAGAGGGCAGCGCATGCGAGCTACCCCTGGCTTTAGACAATAAAGTTTACAATCGGGAAAAGTGTGTGGAGGGTGTTATCATAAAGCCCCTCGGAATCAGTAATTGACGTTCCTTTACCAGCCCTCACCTCTCAGCCTTAAGCACCGGAGACTACTTCCTTTCTCTCACCCTGCCCAGTCCTAGGAAGAGAAAAAAATGTGAGACAGATACGCTCAGATCAAGTCCGTTTGTGCGCTATTCTTGGCTTTTTCGTAAGAGAGTGACAGATTATTTCGTTTCCAAATATTCCTAATGATTTTCTGCTCAAGTGTAAGATAATGGAGCAAAGAGTTTTTAGAAATGGCGGTGAGAGGTGGGGGAGGGGGAGGGTGCTGTGATAAACGGTTTGTTGCTTACAGGGGAGGCTAAACTGTTCATCCTCCAAACTCTCCAAACTGAGATTTTTTTTAAAATTTTTGCCCCTTTCCTTTACATCTTCTTTTGTTTTTTTTTTTTTTTAATGTTTTTATTTTTCAAGGAAAGTCTGGTTTGGGCGACTTTGTTCTTTGTTTTGTCATCCACTTTTCAAGCCTCTTCCTGTGGACTCATTTTCCTGTTTGGTGTTTATTCGAAGGAAAATGTGCCCCCCCACACACCCCAGGGTCGCGTTGTTCCAGAATGAACTTAACGAAGAAGCTCGGTATAAATAAGTATAAATAAGCGGGTGGCTTTAAAGGGGTATACATTTGGGGAACACCAGGTGAGGTGCGGTCCCATTTATTTTTCATGGGGTTCCTAGACTTCAGTTTTGCCAGTGTTTCTTCCCTTCGGATAGCTGGGATCCTGTAATCATTGCCGACACATTTTCAATTAAAGTGGGGTGCAGGAAGGGTCTCCAGCGTCTCTCCTGCCTTTCAGTGGCTCCCCTTCCTTTCCCATCCCTGCTCCCAGACCTGGGACCTCTTCCCCCTGAGGCTGCTGCCCTTGAACTTATTTCTGGGGGAGTGGAAGACTGACTCGCAAACCTCCTGAAGCTTTTCGTAAAGCCCAGGTAAAGACCACAGTGCATCCCAAACAGTGACGGGTCACCGTCACCACCATCCGAGCAACCCAAAGTCAGAGTGGGGTAGTGGGTCGAGACTAGTCCTCCACCCCACCGGGGTCACAGGACCCAGGAGAGGGTTCGGGGACCGGAAGCCTCGGGCTGTAGGCAGTTGCTGGAGCCTCCTTCCCTAAGGGGATGAGGATGAGTTATAAGTGGGCAGGGTTGCAGGGCAATAAATGGGGGTGCATGCCGGCCAAGGTCATCATCTGGCAGCCTTCTGGGGGCTGGGAGGAACTTGTGCATGGGGTGGGAAGCCCAGCAGCCGGTCTGGAACCTAAGGTCTGTGCAGCGGTCTCTGGCGGCTCCGGATCAGGACGTTGGGTCTTTGAGTCTTTCCGGGGTGGGAAGCCGAGGTTCCAGCGGAGAGCGACCCGAAGCGCCCACATCTGGCGCACGACATGCCTGCCAGGGCGCCGCAGGGGAGATGTGAGCCGGGCGAGGTTTGGGGGCCTGTGAGTCGGCGCCACCTCTCCAGCGACTGCCGGTGCTCATTGCCAGGGTGACCCGCTGTGGGTTTTCAGCGAGGCCGGGTGGTCAACCCAATCTTCTGCTGGCCGGCTGCAGCCATGCCAGCTCCAGAAGAGCCCACTCTCAACCCCTCCAAACTTGGCTTTGGCTGCGCACGCCCTGAGCTTGTGCACCCTCCCCTCCTCTCCTCCGCCAGTATGTCTTGCTACATCTTCACCTCTTCCAGGGAGGTGGCAAACCACTGCCTGGGAAGGGGAAAGGGGATCGTTTCGTCTAGGTCCTGCAGAGCTCCCAGGGCTGCAGCACCGGGCCCAACTGCCTCCAGCATCTCTGGGAGCTACTGCAGATGGAGGGGCGGCCCCTGTGGCTGGGCCTTGAGAAGCCTAAGTGAGGACATAGCCCGGAGGGGCACAGGAAGGGTTAACAGTGCACTGGGTGGGGTGGGGGCTCCGAGGATAACTGACAGTTGCCCCCACCCCACCCCCATCACCCTGCTGCTAAGCAAACCCTGAGATCACTTCCATCGCCTCCAGCTCCTTTTCTGGAGTTAGCTTTGTAGCCAAAGAGAGCAGGGAAATGAGCTGCTGCTGGCCCTGGGAAATCCAGAAGCAAGTTTCAGATAGCTAGCTAGCCCTTCCAGAAAGGTTGTCTGGAGAATTATGGAAATTTAAAGGGAAAATAACAGGTTCCCCCCACACACACACACCTCCAAAAATAAAATGTAGGTATCTCAGCAGTAAATGCTAATTTTTAAGCAAAATTTATCTTTCCCACTTTTCATTATTGTACTTCATCTGTAGGTTCAGAATTTTAAGGAGTTATTGGAACCATGTTGAGCTGACTTCTGAAAAAACAACTGTTTCCCACTTATTTGCACCATCAATAGAGATCTTTCTTTAAGACTGGATACTCACAAGGCACCATTTAAAATTACAAAGTATTATTCGTATACAGTAAAACTGTATCCTTACACAAGACAGTTTTGATTTATTAAATTAAAAGTAAATTCTTTTAATTTTTCTATTGCCTCCAGGTACTACCATCTTTATACTTTCTTACAGGGGAAATGGCATTTCTGAGGAGGGTTCTTCATTTGTGTCAGACATTCTTAGTAGATGGCCTTTCCCCTACTGTGTATGGGGATATTTTTGTTATGAGGTATGCTGAGGTGGTAAAAATACTGGCCTCACAATTAAAGTGAGTCTGGATACCAAAATGAAGGCAGTCATCTGCTATTAATCAGGTTATGTCTGCTTCTTGTTGAGGAAAATACAGTGAAGATTTGCTTCTCTTTTCATCTAAAAGGGCCTGTAAAATGCTGAATGCTGCATAAAAATCATTCTCCCCAATTTTCGTTCAATTAATCAAAATGCATATGTTCACGTTGGGCATAGTTACATCAGAGAGAAAATTTGCTGCAGAGCTTCAAACAACCAGGGCAGTAACATGTAGCACAGATGACCTCGCACATTCCATCAATCTTTAATAATACCATTGTCATTACTATTATTGTCTGAAGTGTTAAATTGCTGCCAGAATCAATACAAGTGTGCTTCTTGAATATATTTTATCCCACTGTTGTTTTTAACATCTCTGTTAAGAGACCAATTAATTCCCAACTCAGAGCTCCAGTGAAGTTTGTATATAGTGAGGACT